CTCGTAAGACGTTGTGGCAGGATAGGACTTCGGCTTCTGTCCGATGCTCGGCTTCGTCGCTCTCTGCAGCAACGCGTACGACTGCGCCTACTGCGGCGGTGATGCCCCTCGCTGCCTCTTTCTCGGCTGCGGGATCTGTGCTGCGTTGGCGAAGGAGTAGCCAGAATTTTCTTGTTATTTTCATTCATCCTGAAAAGCGTTTAGAAAAAAAAGGACATAATTTGCTCATAGTCAATTACACAGTTTATGTATATTATTATTAAAGTGAAATGAAAAAGAAGGATATTATATGTTTATACTCTTAAGGAAATAGAAAAAGAATAGGAAACTTATTACATTATTTATATTATAAACTATTAATATGAAGGTACTTTAATAAAATTCATCTATTTTTTTTACTTCAATACTGGTGTTACATAACTAAAATAAACTTTAGTAATGCCTTATTTGTATGTTACCATTTTTAGGACTCAAGTAACGCATCTAAGTGTTACACATAATTGCTTAAAAAGTGTATTATATAAAAAAAATGTCAGTAAATTGATTCCTGATAAAATTAACAAACAAAGGAAATTGGTAATTAACTGTTACTTCTTATTATTATTTTTATTTGCACTACTTTAAACGCTGAAATTTCTCTCAAAAACAGGAAACAACAAACAAAAAGAAATACCATAGCATTAAGAGGTTTTAAAAAAAAAAATTACATACACGTACCTTATAATCTTTGTGAGGCGTAGGAATCCTTTATCCCACTTCTGATTTTAGCTACCAGTAAGGATTCTCACAATAATAACTCCAATATCGCTGTGACACTTTATTCACTGATAGTACAAAACGAACTGCCCGCTCCGAGTTGGCGGTATGACTTTTATATGCAACGGTGGTATCGTTTTACAACTTCTAACGACACCGGAAGTGTCGTTAGCTTTCATAATTAACATTAATAATGATTATACAATGTAATCGAATTTAAACATAGAAATTAAAATAAGTATTAAATTACATAAATTATAACAACTCATTCCTGATTTTTAAGGATTACAAAAATAATTCGTATGTTGAATTTATATGACGTACAAAACAAAACAAATGACATTTTATAATCGATAATTTAATATGTAGGTATGTTATAATTAAATTCTAACATCTATGATTTATTTCCTCAGTCGTCTTTGTACTCTGCCCTAAAGCTGTTTATTATTGAATACTTAATCTATATTTTGAATACGCTTATGAATGTTAAATGAAAAAACTAAAATAGGTGGCACCCATTATTTTATAAAAATAATAATAAGTCACCGAAATATGCATATACATATAAATATAAATAAATACGTAAATAAGTGAAATAACATAAGTACGACATTAAATGCCTAATTAATTTGTAACTTGTTTTTTCTTTGGGTAATGGCTCTTTTCCCGTGATTTAGTCCGACTCAATATAGTCTACATATATTGTTATAGCTTAAAGAGTTAATATGTATTTTTTTTCTATTGTCAACTTACATTTTACTAAGCTTTTTTTTTTCAATCACTGGCTATGAATAATATAAAAATAACAAAGACTTACTAAAATCTTTCCTATTTAAATGGTCCTGTTTCTTCAGCCATATCTCCAGAATGTCAATTGCTTGATCAATTGCTCCAGGTTTATCCAAATCGAATGATTTTCTTACAACCGTTAGTGTGTCATTAGGAAATATTAATATAGAATCCTTCTTTATAGACTCCATTGATGTAGCTAAGGAATAATATTATGATTAAAACTGAATCACGTCTTCGACACACGACTGGTTCTTATGGCTGGTATTATACGTTTAAATTAAAATTTTGGTAGTCTAATAAGTTGAAATATGGGTACAGTCAGCGAATAAAGTTTTGAGGTCACTAAACTGCTATTTAATATGAGATCAGTATCAGTCAGAGGTTTCGAACGTAATATGAATTGAGACTAAAGAGTTTTTATTATTTTTTACGGTGGCTTAGCGGCCAATGACAGAATCAGCGTTTGATAGAATATTTCAATCGCGTACAGTCCGGTCATTTTTATTGACAGATGCATAAAAATATTACAACTATATATGTTATGTAATGGTTGTATTTATATAAATTTTTTCAAAGAAATAAAGATAATCTTTAATCGTGTTTAACTATTTTTTAACATTTAATTGCAATATTGGTTTCTGCTTGTCTGTAACATTTTCGACTATTACAACACTGGGAATATGTTTTTATCTGGCACATTCCTGTGACGGTAATGGTATAATATGATGTAGTATGCAAACAACTTCAAAAACAAATTATTAATCTTAAAAAATATATAACACATACAGCAGATTTTAAAGAAACAATATTCATTGCTTTATATATTTTTTATAATTAAATTTTTAAGAAATAGTTTTATTAATATTGTTTTTATTATCTTTTGACATAATTAATTAATTTTATTTGTTTTATTAAATAAATTTGAATATATAAACCAACTGATTTACAATAATATTCTATAGTGGCTTATAAAATAAGTTAGTTGACTGTACATACTCAAAAAAATAAGCTATCAAACCAGCATTGATTGTAGTATATGTTAATCAAAGCAAACCAGTTGCCAAAAAATGACCTTCATATTTGAGTGACTTCTACGCCAGTTGGCTACAGGGTTCGATTTACAAAACTAATATTTCTTATTCTCTCTAATCTGGGCAATAACTTTCATGAAAATCCGTTCAGTAGTTTTTGCGTGAAGAAGTAACAAACATCCAATCCTAAAAACTTTCACCTTTATAATATTAGTAGGATAGTATCCATATTTTCTTCAGCTTTCTTCTTGCTCCATCAATTCTATTCTGTAAAAGGATGCACGAAATACACCAAAACTCGTGTTGGGATGCATGTTTGTGTTAGATGTTTGCCATGGTTAGGCATAAGTTTGCTGTTTGTAGCAAACGAAGAGTGTAGAGCTCAAATCACGTGTGCAAGTGCGCGCGCCACTGCAATTCTCAAGAATTCTCAGCACACTGACAGCATATATAAAGTCAAAGTGACCGTCCACCTTTGTCATCATGCGTATTGTCTCTCATCATATTTAATTTATGAACCTACCGTTATACACCTACCGTTCATATGAAAAGAGATTGAAAAGATTTAATTTGCAATCATTGGAAATTAGGGGAAGGGTCCTAGATTTAATGACATTTAATAAAATTGTAAACTTTAATAGTTCTTACTATAATCCTATATCTAGAATGTGCCGCCGATATAATAAACTCATTGGTAATGGATCTGATGTTAATATTTTCAACTGTAATATAGTACTCTTAAGAGAAAGCTAACAGCATTGGTGTAATTTTTTACTTTTTTTTAAATAATATTTAGTGACTTAGCGATTTTATTCAAAAATTTTAATTTTAAAGAATGTAATAGTTATTTAAGTATATAGATGCATGTTTTTGTTTAATTTGTGTTTGCAGTACATGTGAAGGGTCGCAACCCTGTAAAACATACTTTTAATTAGTATTTTCACCTGGCTGTCACCTGTTTTATAAATCTTAATAAATAAATAAATACGGTTATAGCCATTATTCATACCATAAAGAGTAACTACAAATTAAAATTGCAGTACCAGTTAACAATGTAATTTACTCCCGAACATTAACATGCCACGGTGAATTAGCTTTTTATCACGTAATTCAAACTTTATCACGCAAAGTGCATTGTGTACCGACTACATGTTAAAAGTAGCTAATACGTCATGTTGTATCATAAAATTATTAGACTAGTTATTAGACATCATTAATTTCCACCATCCAGAAACCTGATCGAGCATCTAACTTACTAAAAGCAAAAAGCAGCCTCTAATTTAATAGCAATATCCGTCAGCGTCGGCAAAGGGTAATGTGCGCGGCGCACTACACGATTCAACGGACGGGGGTCGAGGCTCGCGAATACTACCATCTTTTTTATCCGCAACGACAATTTCACCAGATACTGGTATTTTGAGTTTTTTAAGCTATTGAATTTTTCAAGCATTATTCATTAAACATTTTTTTGGCATAGCATTGTGAATGCATAATTGAAAAAAATATAAGAAGTATTTTGTTCTGGGAAATTCCAAATTTTATTTTACTTTTACACGACTCTGAGCGCAGCGCTGTGACATCATAGAGATTCATGAAATAAAAAACGTTTTTTTATAACTGTACCTTTTGACGTAGTTTTTTTTCGATTCAACCTATATGCTATGACAGCGTTGCACTCAATGATGATTTCAAGGTTTTTTTCTTAAACAGTATAGCACTTCAAGGGTTAAAATAAATCAAATGACTTAAATACCTATTAAATATATTTACCATATTCTATTAACCAATATCACATATAATTATCTAATTAAAATAATAGTTAAAAGCTCCTTTTTTTATAGGTAATACAGTAGCAAATTTATAAGTAGCTATGCTAATATTTATCTGCATATAAGGGTCAGCACCTCTCGGACGGAATATCCGTCGAGCGTACTCAGAATAAAGCGTTTGTGTATCAGATTATTCGTCTAGTGTGCAAAGTAGAATGTCATATTATATATTTTTATTAGATTTACCGTTTTACATTACACGACCTTACGCGATGTATCTTACGTCAAAAGTAATATGTCAACACCCAGAGCGTATGATAAAACGAATCGAATATGACTAACGCCCTTGTAATATAGACTAGCATTAAATAAGCAGCATGAAATTACCGTGAGACGCTCGACGGAAATTCCGTCTGATACGAACCGACACACGAAAATTAAAAAAAAAATTTAGGTTATTTTATTTTTACGGAAATTCATAATATTTTTTGAGCAATAAACTAAAATTGTTTGTACTGAAGTTCTTTAAAAAAAAAATTATTAGCTCATTAAAATTACGAATAATTATCATTAACAAGTAATAGACTAAAAAAGGAATAAATTAAGAAAACCAAATTATCTACCAGTGAGTATTCAAAAACATGTTTAGAATTCAATCTACATTCAAAGTGCGGAAAGTGCCAGCTATACCTAAGTATTCGTCGTTAAGTTTGGTCACTGGTCGAAGATTTTCGTCGATTTTGGCTTCGTACGTTTCCTTAAGGTATTCCATGAAGCTGTCTGCACTTAACACTTCCACCCATTCATCTGTAAACAAAGTAAATAAATTATTTAATTGAGGTATTAATTATTAACTTCACTTTGGATGGTTTCCAGTAATCGAACAACTTTAACAGTACCTTGTCAAGTTTGGTTGTAATGTATTACGTATATAAAAGAATTAACTGTTTTAGTTTTTCGTAATTACATTTTTTTTGTCTGTTTATATTTTAGACATATGTAGCTTAGATACGTGGTTTAAACATTTTGTGAATATTTATTACCTCAAGTAGTAAATATATTATTAATTTTATTTGTAAAATATTTTTAAAAATAATATAATTTTATTATTAAATATTTTATAAATGTGATTAATAAATTTATAAAATATTTTTTGTTTTAGTTTTCATGCGAAAACCAAGTCGATTAATTCAGTGCCTATCTTTCTGTGAGAGCAGTTATCCAACCTTTTTATAGACTTAGGAATACTTAACAAACGCACACACCCATTAATCACCTTAGTACGAGTACTTTTAAACCAATAAAGCACAGAGCCAATACTGAAATAATCGACTTGGTTTACGTTGATTTCATAGCTTTTTACGCCAGAAGAATTGGGTTGTGAGACTTGTGCGTTTTTTTCACATATTATATTTTTGATGAGATCTCATTTCTTTTTGGAGGTAATTCTACTTTTTTTTTGCGTGTATTATATCTTGAGCGTCAACAGCATCAAAGATCACTGACTCTTTGTCTCTATGGACTTTTTAAAAAGGCGTTAATGTATTGGATTTCGATAAATCATATGACATTTATTAGATATATTCAGGTTATTGGTGTTGTTCTCGAAGGTGCCACATATGCTTCATCAACATCGTTGCACGAGATAATATTTTTTTGATCATCTAGCCGGTGATCGACTTTTTCGAATGTTTCTTAACAACAACGATTGCGGGCTGTGGCGCTTATCCACTATGCCACCGAGCTACTCTACATATGCTTGAACGCACGTGAATACTGAAGAATCAACTTAGCCCTTGTCTCTTATAAGTCGATTATTATACCTATGGATATATTAACGAAGTCCATTTGATTCCGTTTGTTGGCTGTTCATTGGTCCACTATGTACGCCTACAGAGATTTTTATATCAACGGGATGCATAATTATGTAAAAATATAAATAGCTTTCCTATGATAATTTTAATTAAATATGTATATTTTATTTACTCTTTGTTAAATATTTGTAAAATTCTCTTTGGTTTGTGTTACTAAGTAACACACTGATGATGTTTTCAAAATTCTCTACAGTTTTTAATAAATCAAATATCTAAAAAACGGAACAAACATTTCATAATATTAGATTTTTTCCTTACTTTGCATGCATAATCATAACAGTGTTTAAAATTTGGAGCCGTGCTTCTGCTGGAAGTATCTTAGAATTTTGATGATGTAGGAGTCAGTCAATTCAACTCAACAAAATTAAACTATTTTGAATTGCAATAATTCTAAAAGCACTCGTTAAAATTTTATGTGATATGAAAATGTGCCTCGTTATGTGATGCTGTCTTGGTCACTGAAAACTTAGACTTATGATTTACTCCACAACGAAGTTACATAGGGTTAACAATGGTCCGAATGGCTTGAAAAAGAGGACGGTACGGTCGTGCACTTTTTTGCTCGACTTGGTGAGGGCAATTCCGTGGACTCAGATTTGAGGTTGAGATCCTAAAAGCACATTTTTTTCAGTTGTCATCTGAAATAATTGTATTTGAGTAATGCTTTACTTTACTAGTTGTACGTGTAACCATAACCCATATATGTGAGGACCTGTAATTGGTTATCTGCTTTCTTATTTAATTATTCTTTTTGTATGTTAGCTATAGGTTTTCTAATAAACAAAATAGTTTTTAGTTAATAAAAAAGTCACATTGATAAATTAATCCGCCAAGTTTTGGGCAATTTTCAGAACTACACTCTTCATCACTTTCGAGTGCACTAAAAACACTATTAGTGAAAATTAAAAGGTGTGGACATTCATATCACGCTTATCTCTTTTACATCACCCATTTGCAAAACGTTATTCCTGACTCATTTTAATTCATCTCATTATACTAGTTCTCGCATTTTCTACCTCTCATACTTTATCTTTTATACGTTTACGGGCAGCAGGCCCGCCTATTGCTGCTATATATTTCTTATTCACTTAAACGGTAAATAACGATGATATAATCTTTTTAGATGTAATTGTGTGTAGTTATTAATAATAAACGTTTTATCTATCTATCTATCTATATAAAATTGTTGATAATTACTTACTGTGAATCTCCTTCATAGATTTCTCTGTGCCTCCACAGTCTTCAGGTAAAACGTCTTTATCCACGTATTGATGAAGTGTGTCTGTGTCAGAGTGCACATGTATACGTTTGCCAAGTTTCTCAGATAACATTTGCTTGAAAGTTGTAACTAGCAGTGTTATAAATTTAGATGATGATATTATATGTATCTCTTTCACTCTGATACCGTAACCATTCTGAAAGGAGAACATAACAGGATTATAAGTTTAAAAAACAAAACAATTTTTAAATTAACGCACATTTCCTATTACAATCAAATATATATCAAATAGCATGCATAGATAAATATGAATCGATATGATATCATTAATAAAAAAAATTCAAAGTGAATGTTAAATTTATTAAATTAATATTAAATTTATTAAACTTAAAATGTGAATTGTTCTGATAAATTTATTACCTTAAAACTAGAATTGTTTGTATCCTTGTGCAGGGGATGCCCTTATTAACTATACCTATAACTGGTGGCCAACATCCATTACATTGATTTTGGTCATTTTAAATATACCATTACGTCAAACAGATAAATCAAAAAGTTACTTACAAGTGCCACATTAATAAGGTGTCCCACTTGAATCAAGTCCAAATGTTTTAAAAATTCGAAAACATTCAAATTTCTGTAATCGAAAATAGCAATACCCGCTTTGGCATAATCGTAACGGGAGAAGTATTCCATATACTGAAAAAAAAAATGATTTTTTTGTGATATAAGAATTTAAAATGCTGTCCAGTAATAAAATCAGCTTTGAACTCGACGTCGAACACAGTTTGCTCAATAACAACACATGTTAATTTGTCACGTCACAAAATTTCTTATGAAAACTATATTAAAATCGGCTTTCTTTAAGAAGGTCTTAAACAAACTAGCTAGGTAAGAGTAGAACAAATACTGCGCTAAGAAATACCGGTAAGCAACCTGGTTTTAAAGATAATAATATCATTGTAAGAACAATGTGTATTTTCATTACTTACGTAAAACGCTCGTGTATAAAATTGGTTAAATAGCTCTGCGCTGAAGGTTTGGGCGTAGTTTTGTAATATGTACACTCTGCAATGATCACTTGTAAGTTTAGGCAAAATACCGTCAGTTCTGGAACAAATAATACCGAAATTAGTTAAATTACAAAGTTAAAATAATATTTATTCAAATTAAGTCATAGAATATTACATAGGACGCCTTTAATGACTGCGATTAGCGATTGTAAAAAATAAGCAACTTTTGCTATGGTTGCCGAAAACATATAAAAGTCTAATACTGAATGGTGCAGTAGTTAGCCCAGTAGTAAGCAATTTTTAACCGACTTCAAGAAGAAGGTTTCAGTTTATATAGGTTATATAGGTTACGTATATATATTATCACCCGATTATCTGGCGTTTGGTTGAACCAATATTGACGCAGTTTTCAGTAAAGTATTTTTAGTGTTACCTTTTATATTAAAAATATCAGATAAAATCATAAAATAAAAACTAAAAAAATAGAACCGATTAAAAAACCTAAAAAAAGAAGTCGGGTGCCTATCGTTTAATTTATAACCTACAAAAAACCTTCGCCCGACTTAAATAGCATTTTCTTAAATAAGACGCTTTTGCGATAAGTATTATTTTTCACTTTTTCATGTTTGGAGTCAGTTCTATTTAAAAAAAAAAATGTATCAATCACAATATTTAAAGGGCAAGTACAGCCGCTGGTCTCGGCTCTATCTGCAGACGTTAGACTACCAATCTGCAGCTGACCCGCGTGGTGGGTTATTGCCCATCCTTTCTGCTTCTTTTTAAAGAGAAGGCTTTTGCGGCAGCAGTAATAGTATTGATAACCTAAACTCAAACTGAAATTATAAACTGAAAGTTATTTTTTCAGTCTAGTTTATTACAAGCACTTGTGAAAATTTTCTTAGATTAATCTACAGCAGGAAGAACTGAAAAGAACCAACTAGAAATATAGTAAGGAAAGAAAAAGTGCATCTTCCAGTTTTAAAGGCTTATAAATATTTTATTATAACAGAACAGAAATATACAGATATACAATTTTGATATTCAATAAGTATAGAAGAGGCCACCTATTTTTCAATATTTAGCATTTATTGCCTGCAGGTCTAGCCTGCGTTACTTTTGACTGGGACGAGGTCAAATTAAAGCATTGACATTAAAAATAAACAGATACTTTTAATAAGAAGACAAACTAGTTATCAGCCAATGAGACTAATGATGGGGTATGATGCAATATATTTATATTTATTATTTAAAAGCCATAACGATTACCATAAAGTTATTCAATATGAAACCTCAGTTTTGAAATGCCATATTTTCTGAATATTCGGAAATCTCTGAATATTCAGAAAACTAAATTACATGGGATAATTTAGATCAATATAATTTTAAAAGTTCACAATATGACCTGATAATATTTTGAGAATATCCAAATGATTGATGAGTTGAAAGATTTAGTGGACTTAGTTATACTTTCCATAGGACTCTGGTCGTACTCCTTTTTTTATATTGTTTTAAATTTCTTTGCAATAGTTGACACACTTCACACTATTTTGAGCGCTTTTTTTTATAATATTTTAAGTACAGCGATTTATTATTATCTGGAGAGGCGAATATGCGTTGACACTATTACCGATGACAGAGATGTTTTTTTTATTCTATTGGGCTGGTGAAATTTATAAAAGCGATTTTATTATCTATCGCTTGAGTCGTGTGTTTAGTTTTTTATTCTAATAAAAGATGTGAGTAATGTTATATCAATAATATATATTTATAATAAACGGCTCAGACAATATTATATTATTATACAACACCTCTGAATTGGTCAAATATCAAATTTTGAGCTAAATCAATTGTATCATGGTAATCTGTATGTAGGTAACACAATAATGTAGATATTGATTTCTAAATTAACCTGGACAAAAATTTAATTCGGTACGAGAGTAGACGACAATTTGAAACTGGCGAGCGAGCTTCTTGACCAAGGACGCAAATGATTTTGATTAATTACAACTTAGTGTGAATATATAAATATATTAACTGTAGTTGTAGCGTGTACTAATAGCCGAAAATGCCTTCTAGAGCGTACACCAATAAAATTTTGGTCACCCATCTGAGGAGCGACCTTTGCAAAATTTGCTTCACTTGCACAAACACATTGAAACGTGCTAATAAACTTATGTGTAACATCTAAAGAATTAATAACTTACACGTTTTCATCCAACTCTTTGAACTTACTAATGTCCCGAACGACAAACAAGTCGTGCAACAAGACTCTAGCCGTGAACAGTTTGTCGAGGCGTTCCTTGGTTCGTTCTACAGAGCCTTTTGCTTTTATTATAGCCCTTTCCAGATAGTCGCGATCTGCAACATATAAAAACTGATTTGAATAATAATGCACAACCACTCTCGAACTGGTTCAATTTATTTGTACGATTATATATTGAATAATATATAGGTACAATGAAAAAGTAAATATCTGCTTTCCTGTAACTTGACTCGTATAAATTATAGTCCGTAGGTATGATGACTAATTTATTATATGTTTGTTCGTCAGGTAGATTTTTTGCGTTATCATTAAATTACCGTGATACATTGTGTTGACACGTCATATGACATCACGCTTTTGGGCTTTTAGCACACTGTACCTAAGCTATTTATTATTAAAAAGAAGTAACAAAATTTATATCTATTATTTTTCTATTAACTGAGTAACGGACTAAATAGAATAATCCAAAACAGTCAATACACACATACACACACACACACACCAAACATACACACAACGTATACTTTCAGGTATCAATTACTTATTATAATAATAACAAATCAGATGTGATGGGCCAGATTTGCAAAAATAATGATCATGAACCAGTTCTATTATATTGTTTTTGGGAGTATTCCGAATGGAAAGGGTAAGGCAAACTAAACTTACTATAAGAAGTGATAACGATCTTTTTTTCCTTTCAATCATTATATGTTAAAAAATTATGTTCATAATTAACTTAATTTATATTTGTTAACCCATTTGGATCCGCCGTCCCTATACAGAGGTGAGAAATTAGTATGTTAGTATGTAAACCAAGTTTTAATGATGTTTTTTACAACCATTATAAGTTCACACTAGAAGATAATTATTTACAACTGTCTTCCTTATTACTTGGTTATTCTTTTAATGTTTTTTTTTGCATATGTCTAATAATTCTGAGGTGTCACTTTTTTAATGGTCAAATGTGCTAATGGTTTTAATAATTAAATTTCAAAAATTCAATGTGCGTCTGTTGACTTGTAAGAACAGGTTTTTTTTTCAAAAACATAATTTTTAGATTTTTATTATGTTAGCAACAATTTAAAGAAGACGTGTAAATTCTTCTTTTAATAACTATAAACTATTTATAACCTCTTAAGCAACATTAAAGCCCTTTTATGTTTTAACCGCCTTCAAGAAAGGCGGAGGTTCTCAATTCGACTGTATTTTTTTTCTGTTTGTTACCTCATAACTTTTTACTAGGTAAACCGATTTTGATGATTCTGTCTTTATTTGAAAGCTAGTGCTTGCCGTGTGGTCTCATTTGCAATAGATGCCATTGCCAGATCTAGCAATGGCATCTATTAGAAAACCATATCAGTTTTATATTTGCATTAAGTATGCGTGATGTTTTTTACCCGAAAACTCAAAACGCATGAAATAAAAACTTTAAAAAAATTAATTGACTACAGAAAAGCTCAGCCCGACTTCCATGTTTCTTAAATTTTTTACCGTTTTAAAGATAACAATTATTTTTTTTAATTTTGAAGTAAATTTTAGACTATCAGAAAAAAACTTAAAGAGCGTCTGGTATCTACATGTAATGACATGACAATGTACTTTTCAAAACATGACTAAGGTACCTGCGGCAATTAGGGCTCTTTGTAATAATGTCTGCTTTTGAAAAATTTAGTTACTATACGTCAATTCCTGTTCAAGTTTTACCCGCACATGCATTACACAAAAAGATTTGCCGCGTGTACCTTATCTATCGACAGAAATTATTGTTTTGGTTGCTAATATTAAATTTAAAACTCTATTAAAATTAAATTGGTATAACTCTCGTCATTTTAGATCAAGGCATGATTTCATTAAAATTTGATTATTCCACTTCAAATTGATAGTACACGTTTCAATTATATATTTTTGAAAAAAAAAATATGATTGTTTCAAAAGTTATCGATTATCTTCGTTCAATTTAAAACATGATTTCACTCCAAATTTTTCAGACTATAATTGGTTTCAGCAAAACAATATTTGTCTCTTTGGTTCGATTATGATATGAAAATTAAAGATATGAACATGTTAGACAGTGTTGGTGGTAAGAAAGATGAAGACCACAAAAGACATTCACGACTATGGTTCATCTTTTAATTAAATGCAGTAAAATGACAGTTCATGTGTTACCACATTTTACCACAAATCAATACCGATTAATCGTTTCATTCAATTAATATTCAGTTTATAATATATGAGTGCAAAATAACTATAATTTCAAATATATTAGGAATATATTATTTATGTATTATTTATTTCACAATAAAACACAAAACCTTTTAAACACGAATAAATTAAGGGTAGGTAAATATACCCACAATAGTGAATCAATGCAAAATGGAAACTACTTATTTATTTTCATACAAATGGATCTCCATCTTTTTCACCATCCTGAATTGATACTGGCCATGCTCATCGGAAAAGCGGACTTTGTCAATCAATACTATGCCTACTTGTCTTATATTTTATACTATACATTATTGTATATTTATGTATTTCTAAGAGCATTTAGCTTCGATTATATAGATTTTAAACATTAAAAGTACAAAACTAATATATAAAATCCAAAAATGCGTGTTTTATTAGAACGCATAAATGCTCTATTCTTTGATATAATCAAAGGTTTCACATATAATAGTCGTGATATGGATGTAATACAATCCGTAAAGCAATAAATGCACCTGTATGTCACTCATCTCCACAAATATCTTCTATACTATATTGTCTTATTGGCAGAACTGCGTATTTCATTTGTAATGTCAAAACGAAATATTAGTTTAATATTAGTATATATTAAACGAAATATTAGTATATTCTGATAACAGAAAACCTGTATATTAATTTGATGGACAGCGTTTTCCAAGTCATCGAAATCAAAGTGTATTTCTATTATCTTTTTTTAATTTTAAATGTTTTAAAGGTAAAGTCGAATGTATCCTGTGTCTTATAATAATTCAGAGTTAAATATTTTCTGTAGTTAAATATCTTCTCTCGACCTATAACATCGATGCAGAATAATACAATTATTTATATACCACCTTATTAGTAGAAAAAATGAGGCAAAATAATTTTAAAAAGTGACATTAGGAAATTTTATTTCTGCGATGTCTCCCGCGTAAATTAGATTTTATGTCATCTGCCTAACATGTAGCATCCCGTAGGTGAAGGAATTTTCATTATATGTTCAGAATTTCTGAAAATTACTCTTATAAAAAAAAAACCCTGGTTGGCTGTATCATTGATACAGCCATATTTTATGCGTGGATACGTCTATGTATGAATGGATATATGAGTAATTGATAAAAATATTCATGCTTGTTCATATTGGGGCCATTTTCGACGATGTCCTTTACTTGAATTTGCACGAATTTATTTATTTTTATTTAAAGATTAGCAAATTCACTCAAAAATATTTTACATTTTATTGCTAACGCATATAAAGCTATATTTACGTGTTCGTAGATGGATGTGTACATATGCATACGTATGGCATAAAGCTAATTTTTTTTATTTATTGTATTATATTTATTGTATTGTATATTATAATGATACCTTTTGAATAATTTTTCCAGATTTGTCAATTATATATGCCGTAAAATCTGCTTCTTTAAAATGTTTTTCACAAACATAAAAATTTTCACCAACATCCAGGTTAGGAAACACATCACGAATAGCTTTTAACCACTCTTCACGTCTATCAATGTTCTTTGGCACTCTAAAAACTGAACGATTCGCTTCTCCAAAACAACCCGGAATTATGCAACGTTGTGGAATAATTGCATTTATAAATGAATAATTAAAAAAAAAATAAACAAATTAAAGACACTAAACACTAAATAAATAAATATTCGTTGCGTTCATTTGTTGAATGAAAAAAGTATTCACTAGCGCCAACAGATGGCGTTAGTGCATATACTCCTGCTGACAGAATGCCCCTCCCCATGCAGAGCAAGCATAGTTCACTTATACGCCAATAGATGGCGTTAGTGCATATACTCCTGCTCACAGAATGACCCCCCTGTAGAACGAAAACATAGACGTATCCACGTCAAAAACATTTATAAACTTTATCTCTTACTTTCTTTTTTACTCAAACTATGCTGACATTTGGTTATAATTTAACGTGTTGGTATGTAAGATATGACATAAGATAGTATAAGCAGGGCTACCCAGGCTTACCCAGGAAGTGTCTATTCACTCTGTCTTCGAAGAGTTCCAGTATATACCTACTGGTAATAAAACAAAGTAAAAAAGAAAAAAAAATTGCATAGATTTAAAAAATGCCGACAAAAGAGGCAATGTTACTATGGCAGCTTTAATCAAAATACTTGTTTCCTCAATGTTATAAAAAAATAAAAATCACTCATTTAAATTAAACAGTCTTCAAAATAAAGGACTTGAAGAATTACGTCAGCGAGACTTTTTTATTGAAACTCGTTGTTGACAAAGAGTTAGGTCTTCAACGTTGTGGACAGGTCATTATTGTAATTTTGTTTGAACTTTTATTCGTCATAAACAGTATCAGGGATGAAATGAATGAGTAAATTGCGAATACTGAGGTTAAACAACTTTCACGAGATGCAGTCATTGGATAAGGTATTTTTTCTCTATAGATCCTCTTTCAAGGGCCTCCGAGTAGCGGTTCCGTATGAACTTCAGGCTTATTTTAACACACATATTAACATGATATATCTTATTTTAACCAACTTCATTATCGAAACCAATTGAATTGGAGGAGGTAGAACCTCCTCCATTTTTTTATTAGTTGTTTTTTTATTAGCATTATAGAATTAGTTATAGTTACTTTCTTATTTAAGTTTCCGCAGCATTTATAAACAACGAAAGTTTGTTCTAGTGCCGATTGTATCTATAACAGTACTATTTCAATATTTGTTTGTCGATTATGTATTTTCTTATGTAAATTTACCAATTTCTCCACGAATTGTGGATCTAGATAAATATATATACATTATAACTTTATGAGACCATTTTACGTCTGCGGTTCTCGGGTTTATAATGTAGTGCATAAGGCAAAAAACATACTTCATCTAACCCTGTAAGCAAAAAATTCGTGAATAGTTACTGGATATGAATAACAGAGAAACAGAAAATATCATCTCATAGATAGAAACAATACTAATATATGTATATAAGAAAAAATTAGAAGCGACTTCAAACTTTAAAAAAAAAGTGGAAAATAATACTTATCTCAAAAGCGACTTATTCAAGATAATGCTATTAAAGTCGGGCGGAGGTTTTCTGTACGTTTTACAAGATAGTCTTCGTCAAAGTATTTAAATAGACGTAAATTATTATAAATGAAAATAGTGAAAAATATTACTTTTTCAAAAATGTTTAACAAATCCAATTGGTCCCTGGCACTCTGTGACAGATAGGCGTAAATTTTAAAACTTGGTTACCATAATCATTAAAACAATCATTTATAATTGTGGCTTTTTCCCGCGACTTCTTGTGCGTGGTGTTAGAATCCATATGCAGTGGTTTATTTTTAAACAACTTCAAAAATATTAATAGTTTTTCAACTTAACTATTTTACTTTATTCATATTGCACTTTTTTGTTTGAAGGAGTATAGAAATTATCCATCAAAACGTACTTAAAAAAACTAGGCAAACTACATCGTCAAAATGAACACGATGTGGTGGTTGCCACATAGGAACCCTATAATATAAATGTTTATTTTCATAAATAAACAGACTTCAAATCGTAAGACAATTCGTATTGAAGTCATACGTGTAAAAATTTGTCATCAAATCATCACCCGAATCAAAACCCGATATATTTTGCTTAGTGCAATTAAAGTAACTTTCTTTGCGTTTCTAAATGACTCTCGATAGTGTCTCAATAATAGTTTTACTTGACATTGTATTATTTTTGCTTACTGTGAAATGAAAAAAGAAGTGTCCATACATTCTCCCTAATCTGTTATCTATGGTTTCCAGCAGGTATATCGCGTGACAAAATTGGCTTCGATTTCATTCAAAATAACATTCAAATGGCAAAATACATTCAAATTTAAATTACATTAGGTTTAACCATACATAACGAACATATTATTTACTACCTCCGCTAGTCTCGGAGACGTAAACCTAACCTGATAAGAATTTAGCATCGAAAACCTTTTTGCTTAATTCCAGTAGCACAATGTTCTTTTAGTTTGATCTCCTACTCGCGATCTCTTAATCGTATACTACATGTCCATTTTAAGTTTCAGCTTATAATACCTTCAATCATATTTAATAGGGTTCATGCTATTTATTATGATGGGTCATATATAATTGAAATCAACTTATATTGCAGTATCCAAAATATTGAAAACTTATTTTTTATGTATATTCATATAAATTATAATTTTACAGACAATTACTATACGTAGCTCGGTAGCGCAACAGATAAGAACCGCTACCCGAGATTTTTATTGTTAAGCAATGTTTCGCATGTGTTGTTTACGGGATGGATGACCAAAAAATTAGCAAATAAAAGCCTGAGCCCCACTGCATTGGGATGTAAAAGAGCTGACAATAATATACAATATACCAGAAACTAATATCCCTAGAGAACCTTTTAGCGGGTTAAAAATTAGCCTATATGTTAATCTAGACCAAGAATTGCCTATATACCAAATTTCATTTTAATCGGTAGTTTTTACGTGAACAAGTAACAAACATCCAAACCTACAAACTTTCGCCTTTATAATTATCAGTAAGATTATTTATCAGTTTTCTTTTTAGTTTTTAGACTTAGACATTACATAAAATACAACTTTGCCTTTTTAGGCAATCCTTAAAAAACACTTTAAAAATGCTATTCCATCATCATAAGTTAGAGGCTATGTATACTGAAACATAAGTGTCATTCAGGTTCACGTACAGATAATTTTAGATCTAAGTTAAAAAAATATATAAGCATCATTGGTGTAGAATTTTTTGTATTCTTTTAACTACACACTCATAATTTTGCAAAGATGTCACTACGTATTATAGACATTTGTAAGTGTTGCCGACAGCCTTACCATGTTTTTGAAATATTATTACTGGCCTCTTTAAGGAGGCTTTTATACTTGTTTTTAATTTATATTTTTTTTTATTTTTTGACTTTGTCAATGTAAGTTCAATGTATCTTGCCTTTGTACGTTGATCAATAAATGTCTCTCTGTGCTAAAAATTATTATTATTAAACGATCTACAGTCCTCTGTTCTTGCTGTCGATTACAGTAAGCATAGTACTTATTAATACGTACGTATATGAAAACTGCTTTAAGTGTAATAAATATTCATAAACTTCACACTGTATAATAGTTATCAAAACACGTATCTGATATTTCAATGACATTAAAATATCATTATAGTGACGGTGACAATGACGACAACAGCAGGTCGCCATCTCTGAGGTTTTTCTTTGGTTAATACTCGGGTCAATGTAGAGAGAGAAAGTATCTGATTCTCTTGGGTATATACATTTTGTTTTTGTTTACATAGGTAAACTTGTTTTATTAATTCTCGAGTTATTAATTTCGAGGGAAAACTAGGTAGGTATTATTATATAATACCTACCTAGTTTTCCTCGCATGGGTGAAATAATATTTTTTAATGGTTTTAATTATTTTGTAATCTATTCAATTCATATAAATATATACAGTACAACATGTATAACTACACAGATGATAGACCACACAAAACTCATGATATGTAGATCAGGCAATCTTGAGAATGTCAAGGGTAGTATCTTTGAGGTCTCGGGTTTGAATCCCGCTGGGTATACTAGCGCCAGAATATTCTAGTGTACCCAATAAAGAGTACGAGTGGATCGATCGCATCTGCGTTCTAGAGTAAACATGCAGGTCAATATATAGAATAAATATAGTGCAACCCCTTAAATAACTGTTATATACATGAATAAAGAGTAATTCAACAATTTTGATGAGGAAGGCTTAATACACATTTGCCTTAATAAATTTTCTTAATAATAAAAAGGCTTAATAAATTTTCATCTTACACGAAAACAAAAAACAAATCAGCTGTTTTGTACTGAACATTAATGAAAATAAGCTCACTAGTAGTTTGGTCTCTAATAGAACAATGATTAGAGCAGTCGCTCGGAATGTAAAAGGTTGTGGGTTCGAGTCCGATCTCGCGGTGCCTGGGTCTTGTATATTTTAAAATATTGTTCATTTAAAATACTGTTTTAATTAAGAACTCACGGAAATCCTTTTTAGTAAAGTGATCCTGTTTCTTCAGCCACAGCTCCAGGATATCTATCGCCCTATCCATCTCTCCAGATTTGTCCAAATTAAATTCCTGTCTGACAACTTTTAATGTATCGGGATGGAATTTTAAAACCGGGTCATTATGTAAGCTCTCCATATTTAAGTGTATTTTTTAAATTAATTAAATAAATACGTCCGACTTATGAGTTCGCTCGCGATGAACTAATAATAATGTTGTAGCTTTAAGCGCCATTGAAATTCAAGTATCTTGTGCCATACGTGTTCCTCGAGGTCAACAGTTTGAAAGGTTTTTTATAAATCCCTTATGCAATATTTTGTTATAATGGAAGCGAAGATATTGCTTTTGAACTTATTATAAACACTTTTTATATTATTTAGTTTTTTTATGACCAGACGAGCAGGGGTCTGTTTGTCTCAAAATCGATAGTATTTTTTTTCAATTTGACATTCGTAATACATTCTCGAACTTCACGCTACAACAATTTGACATGTAATAGGGAATGCGAACGCGAGTTTCTTTTTAAAAAATATATTGTTAATTTGACAAATATTACCTTTTTAAAGTTAAAGTTTCTAAGTTCTTGATCATGCAAATTATGATTCGTTACGTTCGCTACATAATTTCATAAATTGTTGTCGCAATCGATTTATCTTTGAAAAAGATTGCGATAGATTTTGAAATTATTTTTTCTATATTAATATTATTAAAACATAATAAAAAAAGTTTTTTTAAGTAAGCATAAAAAAGGTTTCATGAGATCGGCAGCATCTTTCCTGGACTATGACAAATATTTCCAAACTAAAATCAGCGAAATCGACCCAGCTTTGGTCAAGCCATTATCGATTTTTAGCGAGAAACGAACATCAGTTCATTTTTATAGAAGTTTTATAGTGCTTTGCTGTAGTAAAAACTGTCTCAAACTCGACTTTGTCGATCGTAGCGCTGTATGGTCGATCATAGAGGTTCAAATACTCGTACCTATTTCGAAATGTATTATTTCAATGAATATCAAGGTTGGTTGGCCAGAAATATTTTTACGTTAAAAAAAAGCCTTTTACGTTAAGTTCTTGGCTCCGGTTGAATCTGCACTTATTGATATATACCAATCCGCAGTGGGCCCGCGTGGTGGGTCATAGCCATCATCCACAGACTAGGCCAAAACAGTGGCACAGTACAAATATAGGTAGGTATACGTGTATTATTAGTAAAACTATAAGATCAGTAACAATCACCGTTTACTTCCAATTTCTGGGTTTCTTACAAATTAGTGGTTTTACAATCATCATTGAAGAACACAAATCTCCTATCACAAGTTGTCAGCTTTTAGCGCGGGAGATGGCCATAGATACAATCAAAATAGGCAACCACAGATACATAATCAAAACTTATACTACATACAGAATATGCGCGGGCAAGGCGTACTAGCCACGACTGGCGGGTTGCCACTCGTTCCTTGATCTCCTTTATTTCGATAATTTTGCGTGCGGCGACGCATACGCATAGGCACGCTCACATACAAACCATTTTCGGTGCGTACGTATGAAGAGCACTTACTCTTTGTTTGTTCTCTGGCAGTGGGGAGCACGTACAAAAATTTGTTTCTGGAGCATTAATAAGCTGGTGATGAGAATGATAGATAAGATAGCGATATCTATTTTGATTTCGAGAACTACGTTTGTCTTAAATTCTTCTGCATTATATTAATTAAACGCCTAACTATTCACAATGGCAAAATTTATTACATAGTTGTTTGCTTATAAAAATAGTAAAAAGTATAAGATACTTTGAAGAAACTATACTCCATTCATTATGATCTCAGAAACAGCAGTGCAGAACAATTTATTTACAAGATAAATTTGAAAAATATTTATAATAGTTTTGTTGAAATTTTGAACTTTAAGTAGTCTGAAAGAGTTGGGCAATTTTACATTTTTTCGGGGTTGAGATGCGACTAGCATTTTCTAAATTCATCTTTTACTGAGAGCCAATATGGAAATAAAACTATATATCTGTTGTTTTGATTGATTCTAATTGTAAGTGTATATAATTAGAATATAATTTAGTTATATCTATGCCCAGAAAATAAAAGTAAACAAAATAATTTTTTTATCTATTATTACATTTATTCAGATATTATTAGACTATTGATTAAGACATTGGAAAAACTTTCTGAAATATCAAAGGTTATTGTTGTAGGTCACTCGGGCCTGCACCGGAATCAGAATTTAGCAAAACTTAACAATAAAAAGATAACAACTAAAACAAAAGTATAAGAAAACAACAATAAAACAGTAATTAATCAATCACCGAAATTGGCAAAACAACAAGAAAGGCAGTAGCATTTACAATGAATGACAATCCCAGATTACGTATTTTGACTATTATGAATAAATTATAATCTGACAAAATTAAAAAGCTGTACTGCCAAAACATTTGAAGGGATTAGGCAACGTTTTAAATTTGGTAGAGTTATAGTGACATGAGAATCGTGCCGAAACTATCTAACCCTGCTTTTTTAGGTTTTTTAATATGTACACTTTTTATTGTAATAATAATAATACTTATAAATTTGTTTAATATATAGCTTAAAAGACAACGGTTAAGTATAGCAGCTGGTATTTAAGTGGATATGTAGCTAATCAGCCGTTAGTCTTAAGAGTAACATGATTGTTGACATTTTGTCACAAAGTATACCGTAAAAAGAACCTTATTTTCATTCTGTCTAATGCTATAATGAATGGAGTATAAAAAGATACGTAAAATAGGTAACAAATAATAAAAATGTAATGAGAAACTATTTCATGTACCTATAGTTTTAATATTAAACAACATCTCATTCGTAACGCGAATCCCAAATTGCTTTTCATTAGATTATATAAATTACCCGTTCTAATTTCAATCTACGTATATCTTATTGTTACAGATTTTCTCATACTGACAAGTCTTAATGTTACTGTATACTAGTCTAGGTTTTAAATATAATGTTTCGCACATTTTCGATAAAATTAGTCAATTTGTTATTTTTTTGGTTGGTTTTAGCATAAGCCTGTGACACATATTATTTTATTATCATCATAAAAATGACAGTTAGGCAATTCTATGAACAAAATAATTTGAATATAAATAAGGCCAATTCCAACTTACCACTAATAAAAAACAAAAAACTCACGACAGCTAAAATAACAAATTAAATTACTTTATGGTTAACGACTACTTTTTATTTGCAGAAACACAAAGTTTAAAATATTTTATGCTCAAAGAAAGAAAAAACAATTATTTGTTAAAGTATATGTTTACTAAAATACAGTGGCGTGGGTGGGTCCAAATGGCTGCAAGTTCAATTGATCAAATCATAAATTGGGGTTGTACTGCCTTTAACTTTTTATGTCCAGTTTCGTAGTTTTAGCAAGCATCTTAGCAGGGGAGAGGGGTGTAAACGCAATATCAAGCTTCTGCCCCGGTTGGAAATTGTAGGTGATGCCGCCTCGGGTCGCCAACGCGGTTAGTCCGCCACTGCTAAAAGGTCTTTAAGTTTGCTTAATGAAGTACTCAACATTTTCATCATAGTGTTGATGGCGCTAGTTCTCGATATAAAAGATTCATGCCTATAGTTGGTTCGCACTTATGGAATACGAAGAATAAGCAAAAACGAGGTCAAATTAAACAATAACAATTCGTAGCTGGATCGCGGTGTGTGAATACACCTTTACGTATTTGAACGTGATTATTTCATAAGTGATGGTCAGTTGGAATGAGTACTAAGTATTTACAAATAGAGTGGCAGAGAAAGCGGTCGTGTTTCATTTATACTAAATGTTCAGTCAGTGATATATTTTTTTTATTATTCGTGTCAGTGTGTTTACAAAAAAGGCCTGAGAAAATAACTAAGTTCCAGTAGATATAAGTAATATTTTGAAGAAAATAAGGTAAAATTTATTCGTGTTTTATTTATTATTTTTATATCATTTTAGATCAATACAGATTGTATTGATTCTTTCTTATATATTAATGTGAAGCTTATTTGCCCTTTTTCACGTCGAAAATAAATCATAAGATTTATGTGTTTATCTCTCTGAAGATAGTCGGAGAGCTTGATAGAAATTATATTTCTTTATCATAGAAACTTGATCTAACACTATTATTTAACATACACAATGTTAATTGAAATTCCAATAATATAAATTATGTATCTCACGAATATAACTCTAAAATTTTTAATTTCATAAAATGCTACCTTTTTTCGCTTGCGTAAATTATAGCTATTTTTCTACCCACAGATTCGCCAGAGTTGGATTACATAATTTACAAACAATTTAGCTAAAAAACTTCCATGTCATAATAACTATAAATGTGCCACATTCCGATCGTGAATTCTTTCACGAATAGCTACATCGTACCCTTGTGACATAAGCTATATTTACGTGTGCAAAGTCGCTAGAAGTAGTACAGCTAGTTATTAATATACATATATATACATTTTTAGATGTCATTCAAAGAGGGTGAACATCCTCTGTATCCGTTCACGGAGAAAGAGAAACTAGAGATAAGAAAGCAGCTGGGTATGAAAGAGTCGACTATACAGGACGATATTGACGCTATCATGGATTGGTTCAAGAAGCAACCACATTTGGTGGACGCTGGTATAAGTAAGTACTAAACTAATTAAATATTCCTACTTCAAATAAAAGTCGGAGTAGGAGACAAGGATAGGCATACGTAAAGACAAAAGAAATAATGAGATAGATACCTGAGATAATTTTTAATTAATAGGTAGTCGCAAACTATTACAATTTATTGTTAAAGTGCGGCATAATTTTCTCGCACTGATTTCAAGGTGTCACCATCTCTGATGTCACGGGATCAATCCTGGTCGGGGCAATGAAGACAATGAAATTTTCTATATTGTCTCGGGTTTTGGTATTGTAATACCTTCTTTATTACAAATATTTTATTATAACAGTGCATATGCTACTCATTTTCAAAACTAAGCAATATTTGTGATATTATATACATAAGCTTATTTATAATTAATTAAATGCACGAATACAGTTTGACAGGATTCAAACTAAATTTTAATGTCATTTGTTCAACAGACCTGCAACCACTAGGTTTTATGGACAGAAATTTAAATATTTAATCAAATTCTAATGATAATTAAAATGAGAATGAAAAATTATATATAGTTTTCATTGAACTAAATATAGGACTATACAACGTATTTGTCATTGACCTATTGTCAGCAGTCCATATTTTACTGTCGAGACTACGGCTTGAAGAACAATTAGTAAAAGTTGCCTTAGCTCACGTGCGTATATACGCGTGCGCTGAATTTTTGATTATCCGCATCACTACTTTGAGTAACGTTACTCAATCGATTAGACAATCGGTTTGTGGTTCTTACTTTCTTTTTAAAGTGTGAACTGTAAATGTAACATCAGAATATTTTTCGGAATTGCTGTTGTGTACCTTATTTCTGTTGAGTCCCAGATATTTAGTGCGCTCACGGATCACAGCACAGAAATATTGGGAAGTCAATAAAAATAAAATTATTATTGCAAACCATAGGTAACTATTACTCTAATAATAATGATAATGAAGGTTTAATAACAATAATAATTGAAACCTCTTCAGCCATTTCAAACACGCATGCTACTCAGTTTCTCTTGGCCTTAATTAGGTAGTTCAAATTTGATCGTCGATTGTGTATTTGTTTGAAAAATTATTTGATCAACGAATCGGTAATTCTGCTTGAAAACATTTGAAACCTCCTAAAATCTTTCATAGAATAATGATACGATTCATTTCAATTCAATTGTTAAGTACACCCAAATCAACATTAGAAAATTTATTATACTAGTTTTAAATATTCTAAAATATTTAAGATTTCTAACTACACTAATACTCTAAAATACCCAAGAGTTTGCAATACGAGTTGACTATGATACCGATATGTATATTATCTGACGAAAAATTCGCTGAACGTAATGACCGCGGTATGTGTATGTTCGACGAATTGACTGAAAAGTGATTTAATATTTATGATCCATTCTTTGATTTTGAAAATAGAAGTACAATTTAAAGAATAAATTAAACCAATATGCTGTTCATGAACATCAGAGTAAGAGTTAATTAGAGGGTAGTTGCTACCGCGCACTTTATGTTTATTGATATCCAATACTTCGACATCGTTGTAAGCGCTTTTATGTAGTAATAGAGAGAAAAGATCTGATTGGTTATTTATTCACATTGATAGGCTCCGAGACCACAGGACTGATTTTAAAAATTATTTCAACTACGGGAAGCTACATTATACGTGCGTGACCTAATCTACAAAATAAGTGAATGAAGTCGCTAGAAAATAGCGAGTAACTGATATAAGAATAAGGTACATTGTAGCAATCCCGATAAAATACTTTTATAATAAACCAAATCCATATATGAATAAAATATAATTTTAAGCAATTCAGATGCTTCTATTCAGATAATTTGACGTTATGTGTTTTTCAGTCAATTGGGTTTTAGCGTCTTGCAAAAATAAAAATAATAATTGATTGATAAAATTATTACCGAAGATTGATTAAATGTATTATAGCTTTATTATAGTAAATAACTGTAATAATAGTTTACATATTAAACAATCTTGTTAAAACTAGCAAAAGAAAAACATAAAACTTTGATACCCCAGGGATGCAAACTAGCCCTCAAACGTTTTCTCATGAATGATTAAACAACAAATTTGAATTGTTTCAGCTAGTGCTATGGTAGAGCGGATTTTAATCATCGCTAAAGGATCCCTTGAGAAGACAAAACAGAGGATAGACGGATTATATAAATACAGGTCCCTTGCTCCAGAATTAATACAAAATAGGGAAAAGGAATTGTCTCCTCACTGTGGAGATTTATGGTCGTTTTAGTGAGTATTATGATATCAATACTCGTTCATCTACAGCTCATAAGAACTCGCGTGTAAATATTATAGTAATATATGTTTATTTCATGTGAAATTTATTCTATGTTATTAAATTTCAACTTGACATATTCGAAAATTTTATCGTCAAAAATTTGATACCATTAGGATTCAATCTCAACATAATTGAAACTTGTATTTAGTAAATAAAAGACTACTATAGTAGACGTAGTCACCTATCGGGTTTAATCGAACCAGAGAATTTAAAAGTCTCATTTTTAAAGAATGGAACTACCAATTAAGATTAAGGTGCATTTATATATATCTATACGTTTAGCCCGATCCCTTGTAAATCAGACAAAGATAAGTAAACGCGTTAAGAACCATTCTTCAGCACGTTTTTCGCTTCCTTATCATTTATTACACATTTCTGAGCATTTTTTCATATATACTATGCTTGATTTTTTTGCTTCTTTTACGTGATTGTTTTAATCGTGAAATGTACAAATCTCACAACTTGACCGCCCAATGTTGACTTTGTAGATATTGACTACATTTTTTGATTTATTGTACGAAATTTCATTGCGCAGTTGTATATATTTGATTTTTGTTTCGCAATTATTATTTAAGGGACTCGCAATATTTACGACAGTAAACATTCGGAGGGGATAATATATTTGCATAATTTATTACTTCTAGAACAGTAGCAATTCTGTTGTATAAACTATACCAAATTAAAACCGGTCAAACTACATTTTCACTTCTATAAATAATGAATATAACTAAAGTTATCTTAATGTATTATATAACAAACAAAATTTCATAAACTAAGCCCGACTACAGCTAAATCACGCTCTAAAAAGTTTGAAACAATAAATTTATTTAGCGATAGCTCTATTATAATAACAATGACCAAAGAAGAGCGTAGTCGTATACAACTAACAAAACATACTGTTGTTGCATTTGGTTTTAGTCTTTGAACTTGTTTTTTTTATTTAATTAATTTTCGGATATATTTAAGCAAAATTGCAATAAAAAGCTATCAATATATATTTGAAATGTACTAATTTGATACCGTACATGGAATGATTAATTAATATGTTTTTTTTTTGTTTCTTACTTTATGCTCTCTAGAGGGCACTGTTGCCAATTTAATATAACATCACTAGTCTTTAGCACGCGGACATGCTTTTTCGTTATTTGTTCAGTAACGATAAGTAGTTTCGAAGTTATAAGGGACCAGATGAACATTCTTACATACGTACAGGTCAAAATCATAACCCACCTTTTTGCTTCGCCGTAGGCTTATAAAAAGTGTATGATGTGAAAACAAACCCAAATTAGATATTTTTTTTTTCATTCGGGTTAACAGAATTAGGACTGGTATCAATTTTATGAACCTTAAAAGTAACACACAGGATTATCTTAAAATTTCGACATTACATACGATATTGAAATTTCATATTACATAATCAATAAGATGCTTTTGTACATATTTCCGGCTCAAATCTATATATATATGTAACTCAAAGGTGACTGACTGACATAGTGATCTATCAACGCACAGCCCAAACCATTGGACAGACCGGGCTCAAATTTGGCATGCAGGTAGATGTTAGGACGCAGGCATTCTTTAAGAAAGGATTTTGATCAATTCTACCCCCAAGGGGATAAAATAGGGGATGAATGTTTGTATGAGACTGTCAATATTAAACCGATCGGGCTCAGACTTTGCATGCATAAAGCTACTATGTCGTAGGCATCCCCTAAAAAGATTTTTGATAAATTAAACTTTATTTCAAATATTTTACACGATATAATGAATAAATATTCGTTAGAAATGCTGCTTAAAGTAACTTTACCACGCGGACGAAGTCGCGGGCAAAAGCTAGTTGATTAATAAAAGCATATGTAGCAATTTGTAGAAAAAAATGGATTAAGTAATTATTTTATTTATTAAGTTCTGCTAGTGATTCTGATTAAGGGGTAATATCGTGTGGCAATAAAGTAATAAAATAAGTAGTTACAACAATTAATTGCTTAATAATGTAATGATCTTACCATTGTGTGTTTAGATAACTTTGATCTAAGGAAAAATTTGTAGTCTGGGAGTTCAAAAAATGTTCAGGGTTATTATACATTGAGTATTCCAGAAAATTGAGCATTCTACAAAAATCTTAGTTTAATGAAAATTCAGCTTTATTTGTAAGAAATCCAATCAATGTTACGATTATTATTTTTTTTGTAAATTAGTTTCCCGTTTTTATATATGGGTACTAAAGGAAAAATAAACAGATTGGAAGACCATGCAAAAATCTATCGAGCACACTCCTTTACCATTTTCGAACAGTTGAGTCGTTCAACAATTCAACTTTGTTAACATAGCCGATTTTCAAGCTAGGTATCTTCGGAAGACACGTTAACCGTTATACGGTTAGTAGTGTCCGGTGCAAATGCATAATTAGTAATTATTTTCAACGACTTGATGTGCACCGGTATATTTGCAAACTCGCGTAACTCTTTTTCACATTTTTTCCATTTCATTTTTCTCAACTCAGTGCAGCTTTTATGCAATATATCCTATAAAGCTTTACAATTTTCTGAGTGCTTAATTACTTTCTTGATAATTACAAAATAGGAATAAACTGAGAAACTATGATATCAAGCCTCCACACCCGGTCAGTATCTAAAAGATGTTCTATACATAAATTCACATGTACAAACGACAGCAAAAATCACCACTCTGCACGTCCTTATGTGCGAAATATCGCCAATCTAAACGCATCCAGTAAATTGATTGATATTATAAAATCTAGTGAATATAAAAATCTACGTTTCTTTTCAGCCGTCAAGCTGCCATGCCAAAACTATATAAAGGACACAGAATATCTGTTATAAAAATTGATAATCCGGATCCTAATAGCTTTTTTGTTGATGTTTTGTTTAGAAACACATTTATGGTGAGTGAGAAAATTACCGATTTATGAATCAGATTAAAAATTTATTGGAAATATAAAAGTGACATTTGAATCCCAAAAATTTCACAAATTGTAATATAACATTTTATTTGTGGTAAAAGCGTTTATTAAATCATTGTTGACAAAGGTTCTTAACTTCAGATCTGCGAGTAAAATATTTTGATAACCATTTATTGTTTAATAGAATTAAGTTGAAAAATGCTTTATTTGTTAATTTCGAGAGTGGATTCAGTTTTATTTTTTTCATGTTTGCCAAACTTTTTTTTTGATAATGCCTAAAATAATATAAGTGTCAAACAAAATGCTCTCAGTTTCATAAACGTCCAATAATATTGTAATTAGATTAAAGTGACAATACCGTTACAAAACTTCAAATTCAGAACATTCATTAGAGCTTTAAGTCTTCATTAAACCTTAAAGATCGTTTATGCAACTGTGTATTAGAGTCAAGCAATTTTATATCGTATTACTGTGTTTTTCAAAAGATCGTTTGTTACCTTTCAGTTAGGAGATATAAGATTACATCATGATTATATGTTCGGTGAAATTTGGATTATAGATATAGAACATGCAGTAATAGGACATTTATTAAGGCTCAACCCGATTATAATGCATAAAACGGCCCAAATATTTCAGGTAAGCTGTAATTAATATTTTCATTTATAATAATATAGATTCCCAAAATTAACAATAATCCAACAAAATGAAATAACATCTGAAGTATTAAAGAGGTTATCATAATGGCTATAGAATTCACCAAAAATTCATGACAGCAGTGCATTGTAATTGGTGACTAGGGAGAATGGGGCTGTAAATGAAAATTATTGAATATACTTAATTATATTGATCAATTCAATACAATAAAAAAACACGGAAACAAGAAGGAAGACAATGACATTGAGAAAGAACATAAACTGGCAATGGCAAATATAAACTAGACATAAAATAAATAAGCAAGCTGCCACCCTTTCCAGCCAGTCGTCAACAGTTAAATGATAACTATGCCACATAGCCGTTTCCTCGCGACTTTGTCCGCGGAAGTTGTAATCTAAAGCAACCGCGTAAGATGTAGTTCCCTGTAATTAAAAGAATTTTCATTATAGGCTCAGTATTTCCGAATATTACAGCCTACAAATTAATGAACAGATAAATCTAGAAACTATATCTCTTTATAAATATGAATGCATATCAGACGGATCCTTAACATCTAAAATAGAGTATTTATTAATCAAACTTCTTTTGTGCAAATTGAATTTAAGACTCGATTACGTCCGTTAAACACAGGATCTTGGGCAGTAACTAGTAGCAAACAATTTTCAACTTCCTAATAAACAGTTGCAACTATAAAAAACAAAAGGAAAATATAATTATTATTCATGTCGGCTTGAGCAAGCGGTGTGAATTATCACGTACCCCATCGAGTGTGAAGAATGTCGCGTTGCGTGTGTTATGAACGTTCGTTAACTAGCTAAATAAGGACGAGTATTGCACAACTTGCGACGCAATCCACGTCACTCTGACGATTCTAAATATAAATCGTCATATCTAAAGAATTAAGTTACATATGCGTTACTTTATTATTTGGATATGTCCTCGAGAACAATAGTATACCCACCTCTTTCCGACAACGATTTCATTTTTGAATTTAGCCAAATATTCTCTTTATTTCTTAAAATACTCTCTTTGGTACTTAAAAAGACTTCAGTCTTTTTAAGTACATCCACTGCAGGAGTTGAGGCCTTCATTATGGATGGTAAAGGAGAATGGGCCATGACTGTTCATGCTGACCCAATGTGGAATGGAGGGTATTAACGATTGCAAATATTGCCAATGCTACCTAGAATAACGGCTTAACGTGCCTTCCGAAGCATGGAGTAGCTGGAGATAATTTTTTTTGGTTACCCATCCCGGACCAACCTTTGGGAAAGTTGCTTAACCGTTCCGCGACACTTATACACTAAGCTATCGAGCAACTCTCTTTTTTCGTTATAAGTTATTTTATAATCAATTGATAGCTTTTGTACATTTTTTTTAGGAAAACTAAAACTAGGGTTGCATTGACTATAACATTGCATTAACTAAAAAAAAAATGTACTCTAATTACAAATTTGAGCTGTATACAAGTGATGATCTATCTTATAAACCGCAGTAATATCCTACTAATATTATAAATGCGAAAGTTTTTAAAAATTAATGTTTGTTATTCCTTGCGCGAAAACTATTTAAAGAATTTTGATGTGGCACTGATAGTTCTAAGCGTGGATTAACACAGACTTTTTAACTGCACAAAAGTTGATGTGATGTACAGATAATTCTCAGCCTGGATAAACAATTAGCTATTTCTTATCCCACTAATCGGCTCGCTAAGCTCTGCGCGGGTGACGCGGCTGATGTTTAGCATATTATAAAATAAAATGTAAAAATAAATGAAGTCTTCGCATTTTATGGAATATTAAAAATTCGCTAGATCCAAGTTTAGTTGTCACGATAAAAAATAATTCAAAAGAAAACAACGATGGAACACAAAATAATGTCATGACTGGATAAACCTTTTAGCTCGCTTGTCTTATTATTAAAAATGACTCGAGAGTTAGACTAGTCGAAACACAGGTTCCAACATATTCAAGTGTATATAAAAATTTAAGATTCAAGTGTACTATAAAGATTAATATCCTTTAGTTAAGTTTGAAAACAATAAATAATTGGGTTTTTGTTGTAAAATAACGATCTGATGATTATACCATTTTCGACAGAAACTACCTTTCAACTTTTGTTTCAGTAAAATAATTCAAGAAGAAGTTAGATTTAAAGTTCTGGTATTATATAAATGTTATTTAGATAAGTCTGATTCTGGTTACGACAATAAATTCATCTTAAGTAGATATTAGAGGGAACAGCAATTAACTCTTATATGACAGTTTTTGATCTGTAATAAATGTTAAGATGACCTTGACCTTAATAAAAGTAATATTAAATATGTAACTAGAAAATAGGTTGGTTATCTATTCAAGATTACCTATTCAAGATTTTTCACACATTCTGATATTATTTGAACGAAATTTATGTTGAAAAAATCACAAAAAATGCTTTATACGAATAATCAATAGATGCTTACTAAATGACTCATTATGGGTACCAATAATAAAACTGCCAAACCTTAAAATCTAAAAAGGACAAAAGGTCTGAGATATTGTGAAATTTAGATTTAAATTTTGTCAAACACCTAGCTTGATAAATGCAAACATATGTTGAGATTATCTGTAACAGACAGATAGCTTAAGATATTTGACTATTCCAGGAAGGTCTTGGTCTCAGGGTGACAGCGATGCACGTGCTGAACTGTCCAAGCTATGGGCACACTCTGATGAATGTAATGAAACAGTTCTTCAAACCTAAACTACTGGACCGGACGATATTTCATAAAACCTTAGAAGATTTGTATGAGTACATACCAAAACAGTACCTACCTATGGACTATGGTGGCGATGAGCCATCTTTAAAAGAATTTAAAGGTAATCTTTTACATATATAAACTCCCAACAGAATCCAGATTTTAATTTTCACACTGAATATGACCCCAAAAATAACACACCTTATTTTTAGTATGAATTGTAACAATTGTAAAAAATCTGAAATTTACGTTAGTAATAAACCAAACAAAACCCAAGTTCGTAAATAATTCCAATAATATTAGTCTAAATCAATTCATGTAACAAGCCAAATAATTTCCGATTTTGTTAAGCTTATGAGTCTGTAAATTTTTCTTTTCAGATAAGTACGAAAAAGAATTCAAAACCGAGAGAACTTCTCAATTCCTAATAGGATGTAGTAAATTAATTTCAAATGAAAGCAAGAGGCCTGGACAGATTTACGAAGAACCAATGACTGGATCTTTCAAAAAACTAGATCTTGACTGATAAAATTATCATGTGTTATCTATACAAATTCAAAAGGAGATGTCCCGACACACAACTCACAGCCTAAACCACTAGTCGTAGAGACTTGAAATTTTGGGAGTACATTCCTGTTATTACGTAGAGGTGTTGTAACAACAGATTTTTGGCAATTCCACCTCGAAGGGGGTCAAATAGATAAATACGTTTGTATGAAACTTCTTTGTTTTTGGACCTATATAGATGAAAATTTGAGTAGTTTAAGACCTCGGGAAGTGCAACACTTAAGAGATGAAAATGAATGAAAATGGCGAATGAAAATGTTATCAAAAGAATCATACAATTTGATTTTTCATTGCAATAAATCTATCTATTACTATTTCTAAACATTCTAGAAAAAAGTCAAGTGCAAAAATACACTGATGTCATTAATTTGTCCAGAGTATGAGATTACCATATTTTTAATCAAGCCTGTGCCGTGGCTTCTCTTTGTTTCTCTTTTAAAGACGATTATGGTTACTCATATGTTTTCGTTTTCTCTTTAGGTACTAACGACATGATAATAATAAGAATTGATAAAAGAAAGTTTGGTTTGATTAGTTTTAAAAATCAAGGTCAATCTTACGAGTAGAATTACAATTACCAATCACATTGTATACATCCTGTTGTTATATTAGCTCTGCATAAGTAACTCTTATTATTTATTTGATCAATTTAGCATTAACAATGTTATGCTGAAAGATATTCTTTTAGAATATTGCTTGAAAAATCCACTTAGTCCTGAGACGGGATTCAAATCCGTGACCTTTCGCAACCTGAGCGACTGCTCTAACCACTGACTTATCCAAGATTGTGCTTTCACAATGCTATAAGTACTGAAAAATATTCTTAATGAAAATTGAACAAATAATAAGATCCAAGAGAAACCTATCTCTCACTCAGAATAAGTAATTATAAGAACGGTTGTTAGTGTATTTAAAAATAATGATGTTGGCTGTTAATAATTTTTATTTAGTTTAATTAATTCGTTTTCGTTAGTAATCGGTTAAGGCTCTCTAATTACTCTACATATAGTATTCATTCTCATAAAAAAATTATCCTATGTCCTTAGTATATCGATAAACTAATTTTTTGCTGAATATCTAGACATCATTGTCAATGTCAAATAAATAGTTGAGTTTTAAATAGGGTTTCATAATTATGTCGTTTCTGGAGATTAATGCCTCCAGGTGAACAGTGTTAGAAATAATTAAAACACACTCTTAACCAGAGCTTAATATGACTAGAGCTTAAGCTTAGTCGACATTGTAAATGTGAGTATATACTATGTTCGCGAATCTCTTGCACACAGAAAGGAATTCTTTGTCTTTTTATTAATCTTTTTATGGATGAGATGACAAAAATGCTTCAATACTCTGTGAATCCACCCCCAAAAACAGGACTAATTAAAGTGCAGAGGCATACATAAACCTATGGCACGTAATGCACGAAAACAGCTAAAAGTCTCCCTTCCGCGCGGGAATGTAATGGCATCCTAAATCAATGATGGGCTTTATTAAATTTGTTAATAAAATTGTTTTTAATGTTATGCAATTTAGTTACATACTTTTTTAATCTAAGTGTTTTTTCTGCGTACTTTTTTATTTGAACCTAGACAGATGTATATTTTATATGACTTTTTACCATTCAGTATATGGTACTGAAGATATATCTTTTAATTAAACAAATAAATATCTTTTGTACAGTATTTGCATTTTATTTAATAAAAAAAGTATTTCACTACACAAACTAGATGCAAACAAAATTTCAGAATAACAATGAATTATTTTAGCAACAAAATTCAAAGTAAAGTAACTGAAATATTCATTATTAATTTTGATACTTTAAAACATAGATTGGAATTACCTAAGGTAAGCGTCAGAGGCAAACACCTTCGAAAGTTATCGAGAAATGACCTGTGAAAATGACAAACGAAAGAGTTGAATACTAAGTGCAATCTTTCGACGGATTTATCTCATAAATTCATTCATATTGAATCATAATTTGTTCCATAAGCGATTACGACTTTAACAGTTATATAATTTAATTTTAAATAAAGCAATCAACCCACAGAGGCAACATAATACAGAGAGCAAATAAATAAAAACAATAGTCTGCCTGCTTTGATACTGTTAAAATCATAGGTAGAATAAGGATAAAATTAAGTTCTTTTCAATTATTTTATCGATATTGCTGTAGAAACTCACAGATACCCACATATAGTGAAACTATTTTTAAGAGCGAGACCAATCGCACTACTTTATGCGTTTAATAACTTTAATTTCAATAGAAGAGAATTTGTAAAGGCGAATTTAGATTATGAAACTAATGCCATGAAAGTAGTTTCATTGAACTAACGTCACGTCACTACAAATGTCATGCATTAGTCTCTTAAAACGAGTGATTTCATGCCATACGCAAATTTTTAATGAAACTAGTATCATGTTACTATTTCACCACTATATACATGAGAAATTAGTGTCGGGACACCATGTCTGCGTATTATAAAGTTTCGATACTAACAGAGGCGGTGTCTCAAAGTCACCCAAAATAATTTCACATATAAATAAATTACGGTTGTGACATTAAATACGTAATGTAAATTCGGCTTTAGAGAAACAACTTATATCGCAACACAATTCTTTTGCCGCAAACAATGTTGAAAACTAATATAAAACTAAGTTGCTGAACTTCAGTGTCCATCTGCGAGCATCTGTACAATTTATAATAAAACTCTTTATTTCTTTATTAAAATGAATAAGTAACAAAATTGGGATACGTTGAATTTCATTACTTCTTTAACGAGGATGAATTGAATGAAATTTGAAAACCGGCAAGCGAGTGTCGGACTTGTACACCAAGTTTTCCATACCTTGATCTATAAAATATCTATAAGTATCTTACCTGTAGGCAATGATCTGGGAGACATTTTTATTTAGTATAGTTATTATTTTAAGAGATAGTTTAGATAAAATATTAAATTTGTTGTATTGGACACCCCTTTAATTTTTTAATTTTAAAATTACAACTGTTTTGTTATCACGTTTCGTGTGATGCAGACTGCTGATAGACAGACAGACGGACAGCGGAGTCTTACATCCGTATGTATAATCGAGTAAAAGTAATTGAGTAAATATTTAAATAAATATAAACAAGAATTTAATAAAGTAAGCGATATAGTAAGAATAATATTATTATTAGCTTAAGTTCTCATGTAATAACTTCTCTCAACTATAGATGCGAGTGTAATGCCCGTTTTCACTAAACTTAGGAGTTGCTCAAATCTGTCGCCTAAATATTTAGGAATCACCTAAGGTCAAAATGCATTTCTCCAATGACTAAGAAATACCTAACAAAATTAAGCAATGTCTTTTAAAATAAAGTTATACGTTTATGAGGCGCTTTGCATAAGGTATTTGCTTAATATAACAAGGTCACAAATGAGTCAAAGGATAAAAAAAATATGTAGGTTTGGAATTAAACTAATCTGCTTAGGTGATCCATAAGATTAAGCTCTATCTAGTTAAACTATGCCTTGTTCTAGGTTAGTGAAAACGGGTGTTATTAACAATAATATAAAGAGCTTCCGTTTTTATCCTTCGGGTGTGAAACTTTAAAAATTACCTAGTTACATCCTCTTGATAGGTAAAATTGGCTTCTAGTTTTAAATCCAAAAATGTAGAAAAGTTAATTTTCTAGATTGGCACAACTAGGATTATAACAAGATTCTTACAACAAGCGTATAAGGGTGAACGGCCGTTGGCACCGTCCACGCAACCGATTTATGAGACGTCAAAACTGACAGTCGCATGTTTCATAGAAGCATCTATGAAATATGACGTATAACTTCGGAAAATCTGTGCGATTGTTGTGTGCCGTGCGACCGGAGCGCGCAAACTGAAGCAGTGGACGGGCACCTTTAACCACCCAACCAAATAGATCCCCATATAATGGTACAACTGTGTCTTTGTTTATTTTCTCCATTATCTGTATATTTGAAGATCGCGATAATACTCTCTGATACAGCCAAAATTACCAAAGGCGGCATTAAAGGAAAATGCGGGTAACGGGAATAACCATCATTTGCGTTGTAAATAAAACAGAGCCCGCTTCATTTTGGGTTATGGAATACGTTTATTTTTCCGTTTGACGTTGACAAAGGGGATCTCACCGGGTGACTAAGTGCTGTCGTTGGGATCTGTTACATTGGAAATGTTTCAAGGAAATTGATGTTTTAACGCCTCTGAAGTTAAGCGTTGATGTTCATTATTATAACCGTGTCATTATTACACCTTATCAAGTATTAACGCCGTGATATTCAATAAAAGAGATCGTCTTTTATATAAAATTTATCATGTCTATCAGTGTGCTAAGATAATAAGTAGTAAAGCTATTTAAATATGTAGCTAAACGCAGCAAAATATCCGTCTGTTATTTGGCATTAGTGTACACGTTAATTACACCGACAAAGAGGTAAAGTAACTTTTCGAAAAAAAGAAAAGGTTTGCCTCCTCCTTTATATCTAAAGTGATGATATTTTAACTTGTCTCTTCCATAGTGTGGGACATCGTTTGATAGGTTTTTTAAAAACATTAGGGGTGTGAGAAATCTGTTTTACGATTTAGTAAACCGGAAATCTCTTGTACGTTTTTGTCACGAGCTCTTGTACTATAAATATCTGTTTATTTAAAAGTTCCATCTTATTTTTTTATTAATAAACCATCAAGTTCTTCAATTTACTTTGTTTTATAAAATGAAACCTGATTTTTGTGAGTTAACTTGAAAAAAAATGACCTTCGTATGGGAAGACAATACTTATAAGCCTAAATGTCCAGCGGCTATGTAAACTGCATAACTATAACTTTTGCTATAAATACATATCTAAAT